GAGCTCGTCGAACTAGTGGATGAACTAAAGGTGAGGACAGAAAAGGCTGAAAGGGAGCTTGAGGAATTCAAGCAACAGCAACAGGAGGAGTACAATAGGCTCAGTAAGCAAGTCTTGCGCTTAAGCTCTCCTGGTAATTAACTCTTTGTCTTCAACTTCTGTGGCTTGATGCGGTGAACATTTATGGTATGTTGTGTGGACGCAAGTGATGGTTTGATATTGTGATACTCTATAAGTGGTTCATTCATGACGTGTGAAATGTTAATTGTGGTTATTTGATTGCTAGGTTGAATTGTTATATAGTCAATCTATGCAATAGTGATGATCTTGAATTACTTCTATGATGAATTGATTGTACTACACGCGGTAGAACCAGAATAGACCACGTGATCAAATAAAAATGTGACACATGGAGGAACCAATGCATGACACATGAAATAGCCAGAGCACGACACGTGGAAGGATGTCGTCAAGCCACATGGCATAATAAAAATGTGAAACGTGGATGGACAATGTCGTGACGCGTGGTCGAATAAGAAACGACCACATGGACCAATAAAAATACGCCACTTGGTCCAATGAAGAAGTGACACGTGATCTAACCGTAATACGACACGTGTGCCCATAGAAAACTAACATATGGAACAACAGGAACATGACATGTTGTCCAGTAAGAACTGGAAACGTGCAAGAACCAGAGATGGCCACGTTGTGCAATAAGAAGGTGACACGTATCCGAACCATCTCCAATGCAACTGGCTATAGCATGTACACATGAAAAGCATCTCCAACAGAAGTACCCACCAGCATGGCAGCCCTCCTGCCACGCATGCCAAAATAGTTCTATGGCGTTCTGTTTTTGTCATAGATCAAGCCACTTCTATGACGTTTTGCGAAAAATCATCATAGAATTTCAAGTGTGACGCGACTTCTTTGACGAACCGATTTTCGTCATAAATTCATCATAAAACTAATATTATGACAAATTTAGCTCATTCAGTGACGAAAGCCGATCATTATAGAAGTGAATATTCCTACTAATGATGCCTTGGTGGCTTGTGTAGGTGTGCTTGAAAGCCCTCTAACTCACTTGTGCTTGCAAGCGTGCGATCCAATTACGAGTGAGTGATTCTAGTGCGTTGCATTGTGAGATTGCATCGAGTGGCACTAGGTGTTCGAGTTGCAAGCCGGTGGTGCTTGTTACTCTTGGAGGTTGCCACCTCCTAAATGGCTTGGTGGCGAGTTCTCCATCGTGACGCACGCAAGAAGATTGTGCGGTGGTCCGGAGAAGTGATTGTGAGGGGTATTGTGCTCACCCTATAGAAGCCACGAAGAGCAACTCTAGTAGAGTGTGTCATTGAGTTATTCTCACTTGTTGGTATGTTTTTGCGGCTCTCAACGTGTGGGCTTGGCGTGGTGCCAATTAGCTCGTGAACCACCAAGTGAACGGTCGACACAACAGGGACTAGCTTGGTGGCAACCAAGTGAACCTTAGGATAAAAATCATCGTGTCATCATCTTTCCGTTGGTTTGCATTCCCCGTTACATAAGCGTGTATTTACTTTTTTATATATCGTACTTGTGTAGTTGCTCTTGTAATTCGTTAGTTTATGTAGCTTGCTAGTTACCTTCTTGTTTGTGTGGCATAGAAGTAGCTCCCTTGCATAGCTAATTTGACTTGAGTAGTCTTGTTAGTTATATTGCTTAGTTTGTGTAGCTAAGTGTTTTGAGCTCTCTAATTTGGCTTGTATAGTCTTGTTATTGAGCATTGTTACTGAGCTTAAGAGCTTTGTGCTTTTGCTTACTAGTTTGTATAGGAGCTCCCCGGTTGCTTAAGTACTGGTGGCATAGTTTTGTGTGATCTTACTTCTAGAATTGATTAGGTGAGCTCTAACTAGCCCTGCGTCTTTGTTGCCTAATTATGATCCTTTTTAAGGTGCTCGTGAATATAGATAGAGGGGTGAAGTCTTGGCTCGACCGATAGCTTTAATTCCGCATTTGTTTCGGTTAGCCGACGTCTTTAATTTTAGAAATGACTATTTACTCCCCTCTAGTCCGTCGTCTCGACCCTATATTTATATAATAAGTTTTATAATTAGCTCATATTTACTTCTCCTGATTAGCATCTAAACATATCAGATGTGGCAGGGAGTTTAGTCCTCGGTATCAAACGGTCCCTTACTGGAGCATAATGTGTCAGGCGCAATTTTTCCTCACGGCCTCACCCAGTCACCTCAAAAGCAACTGCAACTATTCTCATCCCCCCCTCTTTTTCTGTGTTTTTTTACATTATATTGTATGAAAATATTTGTTATTTAATACGGCTGAATTACTGCATGGTTACACAAAATCTAATAAACTAAATACGCATGCAACTTAGCTAAATGACTTAGATAACTAGTAAAGTGCCCAGACAATCAACTCTAATATAACTTCATACTCTCTCCGTCTTGAAATATAAGGAATTCAATCTTGTCTTAAGTCAAACTATAGTAACTTTGACCAAATTTATAGAAAATGTATTGATATCTGCCACATCAAAAAGGTATATTATAAAAATATATTCCATAATGTATCTAATTAATCCAATTTGAAGTCCTACTTATTTTTTCTTTTCTATAAATTTGGTCAAACTTCATATAGTTTGACTTAAGACAAAACTGAATTCCTTATATTTTAGGACAGATGGAGTATTGTATTCTACACTCATTCTATCTACCTCCTAAATTTATGCTTCATTAACATTTTTTAAACTAGTCCATCAGCCCGTGTGAGAATTTAAGAGATATACTATTTAATACATCTGACTAATTAAAAATTATATTAAATTGTATGTTTTCACATTGACATAATAGATACTTCGTACTCTATATCGAATTATCATAAACTTATTAATTATTTTTTTTTGAAAGGGATTGATTTATATGATTTTCATCTATATTCATATTTTAACTTTGCATGACCCCTATGTATATTTTGAATATGCAATTAGTTTGAAACCTTGTGATTAACTATTGTGGCCCTTGTTGCATCACATATCATATAAAGTCATGAATCCAAATTTTGATTTTTTAAAATTTTATTTTTGTTAACTGTTACAATTTTTTGTCCTTAAGTTCAAACTCTTATGTTTGTTGTATCTTTTGTTATCTCTTCTTTTTGCACTAATTTGAAATAAGGATTTTAGGTCATAGAGTACGTTCTTAAATACTACAATAGAATAAGAAATCATTTGAAACCGGCACCATGCCACTTAAGATAAGTGATAGAGCTAGAAGTGAAATCTCGGATGGGGGGTAGCAGTATTAACCTCAAGAGAATTTTAATACGTAAGCCTTTTAATGATCGACTTTTTACTCTAATGTAATCTTAAAGGATAAAAAAAATATAGCTGCCAATGGTCCCTCACACTTCTCAAGATGATTGAGTTTTCCTATCAGGGAATCATATGTGCAGTTAGGGTTATACTGTCAATATAGGCGTGCCAAATATTTATTCAAAATATATAAATATATATAAAGTAACAATATACATAAATTATATGTCATGGTTTGCTAATATGGTTTTAAACAATTTACTAGTATCATTAGTATATGAGTTGTTAAGGAAATATTTTTTGTGATGAAAAATAACATATATATTTATTGCTCATGCATGTTGGCATGACGTGTATGCTTACTTTAATCAAATCTTAATACATTAATACCGATAGAAGTGGATAATGTAGAAACATATACATGCTCTTTGGTTATTTGAATAATTTTTTTAATAGAAGATGTTGATATTTTTTAGATGTAGCTTTGAGAGGATATTTAATTTTTCTAATAATGAGATGACAATTGGGTTACGTAAATTATCTATCTAATAGGAGTATATGGGTAATTAGATGCAAATTTAGGTCTCCTTTAGATCATATTTCTTAATGGCATATGTGGGTAGTTTAAATATAGTCATGAGTTACTTTACGTTGTTTTACGCAATATAAAGGTGGCTAATTATTTAGAAAATAGAATAGATCCAATAGGTATTATTATCAACAATAGTGATCACCTTTGAAAATAGATTTTCATATGCAAATTTTACTATCAACCATCCTTGAAAATTGAATTATAGATACGGTTGACTTAGTCAACCATTCCTATAAATTATTCTATTTTTATGGGCGGTTGGGTTAACTCAACCATTCTTGAAAATAGGTTTAGAGGCGATTTATTAAGTCAAGCTTTGAAAATTGATTTCTACGGTCTAGCTGAACTTAAAGTTTTTTTTTCCATTATTTCTCCTGATTGGGCGTTTGCACATGATATCTCCCACATGTAATTTTTCACACGTACTGTGTATGGTCCATGGAGATGGTGAATAGCATCAAAGCTAAAAGCTTGTGGAATAGGTAAGTCTTGGTCCATGCCTAAGTTGTAGCCAAGTGTGGTGCGTCTTATAAGTGTGGTGAAGAAAATGAGCGAGCCACGGTGCCAAGAAACCATAGCAAGCTGCAGTTTGGCGTTAACCAAACAACTTGGGTATGCCTACACTCAGATATGCTAATGCAGTTCTGTGTGGGTTTTGGTTTGGAGGCGCCAGCAGGGATAAAACAAGAAAGTTGGTGTGGCAAATAGGATGATTGCCAACTTTTGTATAACCTCTTGCTATATTTAGCGGAAACCACATTTTGGAGCTTCCCATTCATATTATCATCACAAGCGAGCACAAAAAGATCTTGTACAACAACACGTCGTCTAGTTCAGGTAGAGCAAAATCTGGTTGCGTGAAACCTGAAAAAACACTACAACAGCTTCCATCTGAGCTTTCCCTGATGGCATGAGGCTGGCTGACTGTCTGTCTGTCTGTCCAGCCCTGAAAAAAAAAACACCTGCTCATCAGGAAAGCTAGCTCATAGTCCAACTCCTTTGATCTGCTTGCAGCTTCTTCTCTTGCTCTGTGGTAAGTGCGTACAAATCTGATGGCCGTTTAATTGTGACCATGCCGTGTCGTCTCTGCCATCAGTTCTGCTCCTTCTTGCTGCCTGTTCAGGAAGGAACCAATGCGATTTGCAGTTGGTCATGGCAGTTTCAGAGAAATTCAACCAGTGTGTGCATCAGTAGGCAAGGCACCTTTCTTGAACCATGACCGGCGACCAGCTTGCCGGATCTGCTGCTCGTGGTTGTGCAGGAGCTCGTCGATGCGCCGGGGCTGTGACAGCAGCGGCCCTGAGTAGTCCACCCTGTTCACCTTCCCCTTGTACATCTGCAAACAATAATAAAATTCCAAGATCATGCATCAGAGTTACTAAATTCAGTCGCAATGAAACTATCAAGGAGACAGCACTGCACTGCAAATCTGCAATGCCTGTGAATTGTGAGCTGTGAGGGTGATATACCTTTCCAGTCTTGAGCTGCTTGGCATCAAGTGTCTGCCTGAACCGGCTGTTGTAAGCTTCAGAGGCGCTGAAGGCGTCAGCGACCTGTGCCCACTGCTTGATCATCTCCTGCTTCTCCACCTCGTATGGTGCCGCTGCCGCTGCGGTGGCGGCGGCGGCGAAGGTGGTTCTTGCTCCGTCTCCTCCTCCGTTGTTGTTGTTGTTGTTGTTCCCTGGCCCCTTGGAGCCGCTCCGCTTCGTCACAACGGCTGGCGCCATCGTGGCGTCGGGCCGGGGCTTCTTGGCCCAGGCGAAGCCGGTGGACGCGGCGAGCTGCACGGGGCCGGACAGAGGGAGGCGGTCGGCGACACGGGGCGGCTCCTTGAAGCTGCTGGACATGGTCCTGGAGCACGGCTCCGCGTGGTCGCCGACGTCGCCGTCGCCGGCGCCGCCGCCGTGCCGCTTGCTGATCGCCGGCACGGGCTCCAGGTCGACGAACAGCCACGAGTCGCTGCCGTCGTTACTCGCCACCGCCGCGCCCTTCTCGGCCACAACGGGCAGCGATTCCTGCAGGTGGAACAAGAAACAGTTTGGTCAGATCAGGCAGCAGAACACACGCAGACCATGATCGCGGGAGCCAAAGTCCGACGGCGGCGCACCTCGGCGTGGACGTGGCTCTGGTTCGTGTCCTGCAGCTGCATGCTCTTGTGCCCCTCGACAGCCGCTTCGCCGCCTCGCCGCCTTGGCTCCGGAGGTTGCTCCTCCTGGCAATGGCATTGGCATCACTTCATTATCGCAGGACAGGACAGGAGGAAACGAGCATATGGGCAGTGGCCGCGTACCTTCTAGATTCTTCCCGGAACTTGGCGTCCATCTCCTTGTTGGGCGCGTACTTGGGCAGGCTCGCCGGCTCGCACGCGTAAGGCGCCGTCGTGAAGTACTGGCGGAGCAGCAACGCATGACAATTAGCAGTTTGGAATGGAGTTTCTGGCACACGGCGAACGAAGGCGCTGCACAAAATAAAGTTCCTCCTGGTACCTCGGCGTCGAGGGCGGCGGCGGCGGTGCCACGGGCGGCGGGGTCGAGGGAGAGGAGCGTGGCGAGGAGGCGGAACGCGTGGCTGGGCATGGACGCGGCGAAGGTGTCCCGGAGTCGGCTCGGGTACGGTTGCTGCGGGCGGAAGACGGCGGCGTGGAGATCCCCGAGCGGCGCCAGAAGTCGTCGGGCGGCGAGCCGCAGAGCTTGAAGATCTTGTGGATCTGCTCCACCTCGGTGCGTCCCTGCAGGACGGGGCGGCGCGCGTGCATCTCCGCGAAGACGCAGCCGGAGCTCCAGAGGTCGACGGAGGGCTCGTACGCCGTGGCGCCCAGGAGCAGCTCCGGCGGGCGGTACCAGAGCGTGACCACCCGGCTGGTCAGCGGCGCCGCCGACGCCGGCGCGAAGAGGTTCGCCAGCCCGAAGTCCGCCACCTTGAGCTCGCCGCCGTTGCTCACCAGCAGGTTGGCGCACTTGATGTCCCGGTGCATCACCCCGCGCGCGTGGCAGTGCGCCAGCCCCTCCAGCAGCTGCCGCATGTAGCACTTGATCTGCACGCAAGCCATGGCATCAGGCAAACACGATCGATCGCCATTGGAGTGGATGGTGACAGGCATCCATGAGCAGGATCAAGAACTGACAGCATGGTCCCACGATCGCGGCGTATCGCAATTCTGACAAGTTTGTCTGCGCGATGCAGACAAGCTAGTAACGAACGTACCTGGGGCTCGGTGAAGGTGATGTCGGGGGAGGAGTTGAGGCCGGCGAGGTCGTGCTCGAGGTACTCGAAAACGAGGTAGATGGAGGAGGAGGAGCGGGAGGTGATGAGTCCCTCGAGTCCGACTACGTTGGGGTGGCCACGGAGGCGGCGGAGGATGAGGATCTCCCGCGCCATGAACCGCACGCTCTCGGGCTCCACGCTGTCGAAGCGCACCTTCTTGAGCGCCACCAGGCGGCCCGTGGCGAGCTCCCGCGCCCGGAACACGCTGCTGTACGTGCCCTGCCCGATCTTCTCCAGCTTCTCGAAGCTCTCGGCGCGGAGCGGCACCCACCCGTGCACGGCCTCGGCGGCCACCGCGCTCAGCCACGACGGCCACCCGGCCGCAGCCTGCTCGCCCTCCACGCACCGCCGGACGTTCCCCAGCCGCGCCGTCGTCGTGACTGCCACCGCCGCGGCCTCCCTCCCCGACCGCCGCCGCCGCTCGTTGTCGTCGTCGTCGTTGTCGAAAGCCTCCAGCCGCACCGGCCGGCTCCATATCGACAGAGCCGACGAGGAGCCCCCCAGGTCCGCCGACGCCGAAGCGCTGCGGGACATGTTGTAGGAGCACGACGACACGTCGTACGACGGCGAGGACACCGCCCCGTGCCTTGACGCCGCGCACCCCATGTCTGGCGCCGCCCCCCGCCGCGGAACGGCGGGACAAGCAGCGCGCTTACGGCTCCACGGAGGCTCGGCGGCGGAGCAACCCGGGAGACCGGAAACAGAGGAGGAGCAAGAACACAGAGGAGGGAAGGGGACGGGAGGTTGTCCGTCTCCTCTCTCTCCTCCTCTGCCCTGTTCTGTTGTGTTCTGGCTCCCCGGGCGATCAGCCTCCTCCCCTGCGTCCACAAGCAATGCGAGCAGCGGCTAAAGATAGCAAGGAAGGAGATGGCAGCCTGGCAGGCCATGGCCGATTGCTCCAGCTGCCTGCCTTTAATTGGTGCTCAATCTGTCCTCCCCCTTTTGCTTTAATTCCTGTGCTGGTCTTGAGCTGGGGAGCAAGTGCACTTCTCTCACTCTTCTCTGCTCTCTGCTGATTTTCTTACTTTCCCTGCTTGCTGCTGCACTGCTAAAGCCTAACTATGCATGATAGAGGATTAGGGGAGCTTTGGTTAAGTGCAACAACCTCTCTATGTCAGAGCTCAAGGAAGAACAGGTGCAGCGGATCCAAAAAAAAAACTGAAGCTTTTGGTAGTGTTTTGCATGTAATTTTCAGATGATTTTGCTGTGGGAGAGCTGTGGAACTGGTTAGGAGTTTGTTGTTAATTTTTCTTTGGGGAAAAGAAAGAAGATACAGGTGTGTGTGTGTGTGTGCCTACACTGCAATGGTCAAAGAATACATTTGTTTTGGGGGAGGGTACACGGGCAAAGGAAGGAATTGTCGAATTGATGTGCGCGCGCAAGAACAGGGCGCACCAACGTGGTGTCCTGGTTTTGGGCGGGGAAATGTTCATGTGATAATATTTATGGCATGGCACTAGGGCAGTATGGGCATGCTGTACTAGCCGTTTGTATTAAAAAAAAACTACCACCCTGTTCTCTCCTTCAATTGTTAAAATTTGGAGTCAAGTAGTACCCATTCATTCTTAATTAATGGTTTAGTGCTGTTTGTGATGATGTGGTTGATGAAAAGATTAGCACATGAGCAAAAGGTGGGTTGTTTGGGAGGAATATGACATCAAGTGGTTAACAAAACAACCATAATAAACATGATAAAAGTAGCGATCTAGCACTTTTGACTTCGCATTTTTCTTCTTTTCGCTTTCAGTTTTCGCGCGTTGGGAGAAAGGGATATATGCTCACAATGTGTATGGTTGTTGCCCCACCCCCACCAATCCCATTTCCATGAGATTCTAATGGGAGGACAGCGTATGGGAGGGAATGTTTGACTATTGTGATCGTGGACATTTAGTGAAAATGTTTATGATAGGGACCGTTGCTCGATGCTGAGTTAAGGCCCCGTTTTAGATGTCCTCAAAACCCAAAAATTTTTGCATAGTACCCGTTACATCGAATCTTGCGGCATATGCATGGAGTACTAAATATAGACGAAAAAAAAAACTAATTACACAGTTGGCCGAGAAATCGTGAGACGAATCTTTTAAGCCTAAATAGTCCATAATTGGACAATTTTTACCAAATACAAACGAAAGTGCTACAGTAGCCAAAAGCCAAAAAATTTCGGAACTAAACACGCCCTAAGCTTAGGTCCCATTTTTGTTTGCTAGACTAGAGCTATGTTTGTTTCCATGTCTGTGGACTGTGTACCTTGTACTTATTTCAGAATTATTGATCGCGAGGACAGGGGATTTGCGAAAGTGAAAGTTTTTACCTTAAAATTGTCTCTGTATTCCTTTTTTTTTTCTTCATCATTTGAACAGTATGTATCTCTGTATTCCAAATAAGATCTGAAATTTATGGGAACCTCACGGTACTACACAATGCAGTGCACGCAACTAGGAGTGAATCATGATGAATGCATTGCAAGGACTCCATGCATATGGTTGGTTAGCTAGCCAGGCAGTTCATCTGCATTCTCTTCTGTAGAAAAGGAATGCATTTGGCCTTGACTGCCATTTACAATCTCGTCCTTGCTCCATGCCTTGCAGAAAGGTGCAAAGTAAATGGCCCCATTGTCATATACTGCGTTGTGGTGTACATAGGACCAGACAGTGACTCATCCATGAGAAATTTCTCACAGATAAAAAAGAGAAGAAAAGGCGCGCGAGAGGAGAAAAAAACTCAGCAAGGCGAAAGTCCACTCATTGTAGGTAGTGGCTTGGCAATCCTTTTGAGGAGGTCTCCTCTTTTGTGGTTTGGGTTATGTGCCTGCTGTTCTTGCTCTAAGCAGCACAATGTCTTTTTGAGAAGTCGTGGTGGTGAACACAGACTGACAGAGTGACAGATGGGTCCGGCTAAACTGCACATGATGGGGTCCGATTGTCTGTCACTCTATGTAAAGGAATTCCTTAAAGAGATCACTTGTAGAAGTGCCTTTTGTGAACCGTGGATCCATTTGGGCAATTGCATGGGGAGATAGGATCATAGGATGATATTTCCTGCTTTGTGCCATGCTTTGGTGCTCACATATCTTGCTTGCAACCTTTGACGCAAGATACGAACGATCATGTTGCTCCTCTTTTGGTTGCGGCAAGTTGAGTGTCTGTAACTCTTGTACTAAACCATCATCGTTTACCATGTCAAAAATTCAGAATTGTCTATGCAAGTTAATAGTGAAAATCCAAAAATTATCACTGATTCATATATATGTCTTTGTGCTTCTTGTGGGCACGACAAAAAATTCAGAGCAAATGCAAACTGAGGAATATAAAATTTAACAGACAAGCGAAACAAAAATAACTAACTATTAGAGAAACTTACACCAAAACCATTAATAGAAACTGTAACAAGAAGACTATGGAGGCATGGAAATATTTTCAGATGCATCCCTGGTGCTTCCTGGTTGATGTTCCTTTTCTCAATTACTCAATAAGTCTTTTCACTGATCAAAGTAGAAAGAGTGCTGATGCAACAGGCTAGCTCTAGCACTCTGTAAGCCTTTGCGTGGGCCCACCAGTCTACGGACCTTGCTTAAAACCCTTGGTTAATCACAATTCACAGACCGTGTGCGTCCATGAATGCTGTAAATCTGTAATCAGTGTAGCCGTAGCACAAGGATGGCCGCGGAAGCAATCCTGCTGCTGCCGTGCCGTATCCAGAACAGGCATATGGTTGTGGCATTTGCAGGCTTTGCTGCCACCTGAGGATTGGTCATTGGGAAATCACTGTATTTGACTGGTCTTCTTAATAGCAGGGCTATTCGTCTCTGGACAAATTTCTTCTGGAGAAACTTTGATGGTCTATATCTACTAGAATTTATATGGGCTAGTGCCCATAAACCCATATGCAGAAATTCTAATAAATCCCAAAGATACATTGCTTGTGTCCCTAATTGGTTTTAATATTTAAACCCACTAGTAGAAGTAGAAGGTGCGTCATCGATCAGTATCATATTGCTAGTTAATATGAAGGTAGCGAATTCTCCTCTCTATATGTACCAAACCCGCTTAGGAAAGGCGCACAGAATTACTAAATGGCATCTCCTAGGTTTAGGAATTCCTAAGGTAGATCAGATTTTTTCCACCTTCTCTCTGTTGCGCCCTCACCATAGAGGTCGAATAAGTTTTTTTTGAAAGTGCTTTGCGCAACTACTCGCGTTCTTCACCATGGGTCGCCTTTAGGCCAAAGACAACTAATGCTACCGTACTACTTCGATCAGTCGTCAAAAAAAACATTGCTCCTCCACCAGCCATGATGACCAATCAACTCGGTCATTGTCGTGTGGATTGTTGCTACATCAAGTCATTGCACTGCGTCGAGTTACTACACTGCATCAGCTAAGTTCGATCACATCAATGTAGCCAGCTAGACCCGAGTAATAGCATCGCCGATGCCCCTGGCGCTGGTCATGTTTAAGGGTACAATTTACTATACCACTCTATTATAGTTTATTTTGTTCCTACTACTACTACTACTACTACTTGTTGTTTGTGTATATGTTAATTTATGAGAATAACATGCTTTATTTAATTAATACTAGAGTTGTGCATGTATTAACTTTGTCATGATTTATATTTGGAATATAATCCTGCAAATGCCTAATTCTCCAACAATATCGACTTAATTTATTCAATGTTTATGTTTATAGTATTAGGGAAAATACATAGGTTGTTTTATGCATTGTCACATAATCTTGAGATGATAGGATGTCATCTTTAAGGTGTCTCTTAGTAATTTCATAGTCCCTTAATTTTGTGCTAAGGAACAAATCAACGTTGTGAGTTGTATGACAACAACCCATAAAAATGATGCATGAGTGGTCCTATATCCCTCAGTTTTATCTTATAAGATGGCCGCTTCATAAAACTATTGATTTCACTTAGTCCACATCATAAAAGCATTACATGAGGCTGAGATATGAGATGGCTAATATCTACCAAATCAATTTAGAAGGTAATTTATGGTTGCGTATCAAACCAATGTGCAACTAGTTGTCTCGTGTAAGGTGTTAAGGAGTCAATTTTGCAAGAAAACATAATTGATATTGTAACAGGACAATAAACTATTTTGACACATATAGTTATGTGAAAATTATCCTTGGCCAATTTTTTAAATATAGTTTACTTTTTAAACCATACCCATTACTTAAATAAAACAATACTTTTTTACATGAAAAAATAATATTACTAGATTATTAATCATAGAAAGATGCTTCAATGGCATCGTATTGTATATTATTTTTTTGTAACACGTGTTAGGATACTGGAATATGTTTACAGTAGATATTGTAGGTTTTCGTTGATTCATGTTAGGATACTGGAATATGTAACACGTGTTAGGAAACTTGAATGCTCTGCAACTGCAAGCGTTGAGATGCTTCAGAAAAGTGAGAAAATCTCGGAGTGAATACCAAAATTGAAAACCGAAACGTAATGGCCCAACTAAGCCCATTAATGGGCTGGGCTCGTTTTCCCAGGCACACTGGCCTAACCAAGCCCCGTAAAAGCCCAAGTGGGTGTTTGCCTTGTCATGGTGGGACCTTTTTTCAGATAAAATTAAAAAAAAAAAGCTTCCGCTCAAAAAAAAGATAAAAAAAGGCTTTATTGAACGCAAGACAATTACACCCGTCCTTCATCACACATTCCTACTATTCGAGGACTTACTGGGGTCCTAGATAATAGGTTGTCAGGCTATCAAATGTTAGTTTCATTAGTCTGTAAACACATAAAAATTGTAATCAAAATTAGGAAAAAAAAACGCATAGAAAAAATTATAAGGTTCCAAATAGGGCCTGAACGGCTGCGTCACTGTTCATAACAGGAGGGGAGACGTAGTGGAAATCAGCAAAGTTGTAACGACCTCCATCCCACAAATTGACAACATGTCTTGTATTTGGCATGAAAGTACTAAGAACGATCACATGACATTAACAGTAACAAAACTAACTAAACCTGCTGCCTACCCAACATGACTACTCAGAGCATGATATCACACTGGCATGTCAGCCTGATCAACAATCAGATGCACCACGGAAAAGGAAAACAGAATTCTAACAAACTCGTTTTAAGGCTAATTCTCCAGGTGGGATTAGAGTTCATTTCAAAGAGAAAGAGATGTACAAAATGTTTTCATCCGATCAGGTCTCAGGGGCCCAAATTAGTACTGAGAAGCATGTACAATTGTCACTGATTACTTTTATAACCTACTAGTTCCCCAACTTCCCTCCAACTCGTCAGGCAAAAAAAGAGTTTCTGAATTCTGACCAATTCTCATCAGCTAAGGTACCTAAAACTCTCTCAAGCTACACGCAACGATGCATTGTTCACCGGCGGGCATCTCGGCCTTCGACAGCGTCTGGTGGTCCTTCCCCACCTTATTATGCCCAGTGCATCCGCGTCCAAGTCAGCAGGGACAAGAGATGGTGATGCCTGTGGTGGTGGGCTGACCTTGGTTTCCTCTACCTCCATGGCAACAGCCACGCTTCTTGCCCGGCGCCTCCCTCTCGGCTGCTGCTTGTTCCGGCCACGTTTCGCCGGCGTGGCTGGCTTGGACCTTCCAAGTGCACGAAGATCCTCTGATACCTCGTGCTTTGGTAATGACGCAAGGCTTGGCAGGATGTCCTTCTGAAAGTCTTTCCTCTGTCGACGTCCTCGCCCTCTACCTCTCTGAGGTTTTGAGACAAGATCTGAAGCTGCAGAGCTATGGCCACAGTTACGGTTATCCTCCTGGGTGGTTCTTTGTGTTGAATGGTACTCGTTGCTTTTGGTTTCTTGCAGCTTCAGTGTTGCAGCCTCAAAGTCATCATCACTGTCCTTGTCCAACACTGTGTTATCTTTGGATATAGCTAGGTCAGCGAACCAATGCAAAATGTCAGGTTGAGGAGATGCTGGCTGAACGCTATCATTCCACATTTCTACCAGCCTCTCTGCTGCTGCTATGGCGAGAGAATCCTGTGAAGGATCATTGGGTTCATGAGGAACAATTTCACCTGATTCATGAGCATCCATCTCTGGATCATCGATTATTGGCAAGGCTTCATTCAGGTCAATGAGATTCCTAATATCTGTGTCACTTTCCTTGCACTGGGGTTGAATTTCCATGTCAGCTTCACACTTAATCGATGGTCCAATGTTTAGGTCATACTGTAAAGTGGGTGAACACTGAGAATCTTTTTCAGCGCCAACACTGATGGGAAAGGCGGGGACTCTTGTGCTACTTTCTGAATATAATGTGGGGCTGGGCAAAATCTGGGTATGGTCCTTTGCATAACTTGATGGGACTTGTGATTCCATCAGGCTTACTGGTTTCTTGCTGAGCCTGATATCAACCACTGATTTCTCGCTTCCCTGTTCCCAAGTGGCAGTGGCATCAAACGGTGTGTCATTCAGATCTATATTCATCAGGTTATCATGGAGTGCAGGAAGCTTTTGATATCCTGCACCTCCCTGAATCTTCAGTGAATGATGATAGGGTGCCTTTGAAGTAGAATCCATCGAGATACCATTGGAAAGGGCATCCTTAGCAGTGAATGTTTCAGCAGCACCACAATGACTCTTAGTCAAGTAGCTTGTGTTGTTGCTTTGCCACGGAGGATTCAGTGCATGATTGAAGCCAAGCGGAGCAAGGATTGAGTGATTGAAGGTGCTAGCACTGGGAGCGTAATGTCCCATTGAGGAACCAGTACAATTTTGTTTGTACCATGCCATGCTAGTGTTTGAGTCTGAATAAGAAATAGGAAACTACATTAGTGTGCACTGATGATAGTGATTTAAATACAAAGGTATAAAACATGCCCAAAAAAAGTTGTAGATCTTACCATCCTTTCTCTGTTGAAATGAATTGTTGTTCCTTATTTCCTCGTTTGCTCCAAAGAACCTTGAACCAGATGCTTTACCAACACATTTTTCTTTCAGTTTTGCTTCCAAGCTTATGAGGTTCAAGTTCACTCCCTGTGATACATGACGCTGGTTCTGGGGAGCAGATATTCCCACACCACGAAAATCTGTAAGATTCATACTAGATGATTCTTCAACTGGTTTATTCAGTATATACGCAGCTGAGCTGTGATGTGCCTGTATATCAGTACTCCAACTCTTCATATGTGAATAGCCCTCACTATTTTGAAGGTTAAGCTTGACATTTCCAAAAAGAACAGAACCATTAGCCCCAGGCAAACTTTTCGAAGGCCTCACTTCCAGTATCTCCACATCATCATCATTGTCGTCGTCAGCGTATACATCTGCTGGAAGCTGCAGGTCGAACATTTTCTTTTGAGGCCTAACATTGTTATGCCTCAAAGGAGTTCCACTCACACTATATTGTGAACTACTTTCATTTATCAAATCGATGCATGATTGCTTAGGATCATGTCCAGAAATAGGATTTGCAGTTTGCTGCATTCCTTTAACATCACCAAGCAGTGCCTGTGATGCAGAGGACCTTGGCTGCAATACATCTGCATAACTAGGACAACCATTGAGCTCTTCTCGTTGGAACCGTGCCATTAGGTTGTTCTGAATTTTGTAAAGACGGTGAAGCTCATACACCTACATAGACATCAAAATGGTAAAGGAAATGAGCTATTAGAACTATAGACAAAAATAAGAAAACAACACCACTGTAAGGAATGCCTTTTTTATAGCTTCATCAAAACATACCTGTTTCCGAAATGTAGCTTCATGTACAAGCATTGTCCGCTTTATCATTTCCTTGTCGTAATGTACAGATCCATTTGAAGCTATTATTGTGAACTTCTCAGCAAGATACACACTTGGTTTGTTCTCCTTGTGATACGGCAACACATTGCCATTAGAATTTACACTAGAATGTTCCATGTCAAAGTATTCTGGAATATAGGTCTCGCCCTCAGCTTTTATTCCCATATCTGTCAAGTACTGACACAGAAAAGTTAGGTTAGAGCTATCATTAGAGAATCACAACAAATCAGCACAAAAATTGTCTATAAGCACAGCCTTCCTTTTGGATTTCACTTTGGAAAATATGAGAAGGTGCACATGCTAAAATGGCCACAACTGTAATGCTATTAACATATAGATGCCATAACAGAATGTTTCACTAAGTCGATAGAAAATTGTCCATATTTGCAGCCTCTCTTTGGATTTCACATAAGGAAAAAAATGAGAAAGGAAACATGATGAAATGACCAAAAAGAGGGTGCTACCGAAAATTAAAAAACCATCCTATAGGTAAATGACAATACTGTAGTAATGTGATCTTTGCATGGGACAGGAAGTTGACCACAAATAAACAACACTCTAGACCCCCAAAGAAAATTACCCACTGTTAACAGATTAAACTCATTAGCTGATTAAATGTTTTTATCACAATTACAGCCTCTCTGACTGTTTTCCAGCCCAATGGCATTGGCCTAGAAAAGTCTGATCAACTAATATGCCATATTTTATCAATATCAAGAATAAGGAAGCAGAGCAACAGTAGCCTTTGTCTACCCATGACAATTATTTCAGGCATAAACAAAACATCTTTTTTGTTGGAACATCAACTGGTACATCTCTACTCTAACAGTCTTCACTGAATTTGCAATGTCTAATAGTCTAGACCCTGGCTGTCGCTTTCTGTAAACAATGAATTATGGTCCATTATAGCTCTTTATTTAATGACGACATAAAAGATCAATTAACAGTTACAGACACTGAATATCAAAGCATTGTCTTTCAAGCCCACATTTGGGAAAATATCGTCAAACATAATAACCAATTCAGCAAAATATAGTTTTATTCATGCAAAAGAGGAGAACCACCACACAAAAGTAAACTGTATCAATGTTATGGATAGATGTTTAAATTTGTTAGTATCATTAATTTTGCTACAGCTAATTACATTTCTGGAATCAATCCAGATAATTAAGAAGCCAAAAACTGAAATAAACATCATGGTTTGGAGACCGGGTGTGAAGATATCTAACTTACAAAGTGGTCAAATATGAAACAGTACCCAGTGGAAGAATCTGCAGATGAAGTCTCTGTAGTTCATGGACCACTGGCTTGTTCAGCCAGCTTATTCAGCACCTTTTGCAGCACAGGAAAATGCACCTGGAAGTGACCTGAAAATTGGCAATCACAGCTCGTAAGCAGACATAAAACAGAGAATCGGAAGTAAGCACCTAATTTCTGCAAACAATGATCATGAGCAATCATCACAACTTTAAATAATGTAACTGGAGTGGAGACCAAATTGCAATGGGGGTTAAACAAGTAATCAACATCCCAGAAAATTAGTTTTGCTTGGGAAAATGTCTAAGTGCCAGTAATCTTATATATCGAAGAAAATGCTGAAAATCTAGTCCAAAGTGAGTGAAACAGCACAGAGGTGAAGCCCTCGAACCACATCACAAGAATGCACATAGAGAAAGCACTACTTAGCCATTCTTTACAGAGACTTCAATTTTGATCAACAAGTAAGATAAGGATCTTCTCTGATGACAACCAGAAGGTAAAACAAGCATTGGTTCAGAAAACCGCAAGAAGGTCATCTCATACTACTTACCAAGTTCTGGAATGCAAAACGACGGTGGCTGAGGGATTCTGCGAGCCGGGCCTGAAGCCTCTGTATGTGAAGAAACTGAGCTATGAATGCCAGCTTATCAGTTCGTCTTTATCATAAGCAGAAGAAAAGTCCAGGTTGCGTCAACAACAAGAGACCTGTAATTTGGCATTTGCAGGACGTCAGGGTATGGGAAGAAAAAGAAAATGTTAAGGGAAATAAATGCAAGCGACAAAAAAAAATTGAAGACAAGATCACAAACCGCAGGAAACTGTGGAGCCAGATGGATTCCGAACATTAAATTAAAGCGCTAAAAAAACAGAGCTTTCCGAAACAATTCTTGAAACCACAACATCACAAGCACACTGCAAGAACAATAATCAAACCAAAACCAAAAAAGCTCCCAGCTTTCCGACACTATTATCCAACCAAAAAGCGCAACCAAAACCACGAAATCGAAAAGGACACGAATTTTTCGCGCACACAAAATCTAGGCAGAAGTAGAACATCATATGGCCAAATCTAGGCAGAAGTAGAACATCATCATATGGCCAAGAACAGAGAGGAGAACCTCCAAGAACAAGGCTTCCGACCCGACCTCCTCCGCTGAAACAATGGCGACCAGACCGAACCAGACCAGACCAGAGGGAAGCAGCCAAGAACAGGAGATAATCCGTCCCCTCACCTGCTCACCATGTCACGGGGAGACGAAGCCCACAGGCCGCATTGGAACTGCCATGATCCAACAAAAGATTCCGCCTTTCCCCACTTCCTCAAACAAGGAGACAAGGCCAACCAAACAAACTGCAACACCTATAAACAAGTACTAATTTATCGCCATCCACATGGACAGAGATACAATCCTTCGTCACTAGGCCATGGACGGGAGGAGACCCAGATTAGATTGGCCGGCAGACGACGATGAGAGGGATCTTCTCCTCCTCGACTCCCTCTCTCTTGCTCTCTCCTTTCTCTGTCTAGTGGAGAAGAAGAGGAGAAAAAATGGGCTTCTCGAAGAACAGGAAAAGTTTGTCAACTTCTGGGCTTCTTCTCTGCCGGCTCCTCGTGTAGGAGGACTGGAGGAGTATATATTGTTCTCACTTTACCAAGGTTTGGTGGTGGATAGGAGAAGGCATTGATTTTTTTTCGTCACTTTGCATTGGGTTTTGGAGGTGCAAAAAGCCATAAATTAGGGGCTTCTCTGTGCCTTTCCCATTCCTCTCTTCTTTTTTCTTCCCCTGTGGTGAGTTCAGTCTTTTGGACAATTTCAGACCTGGAGATTCTCTGCCTCCTCTCTCTCTCTAGGCCTTGTTTACTTTGCAAGTTTTTTCAATCCGATGAATAGTACCACTTTCGTTTTATTTGGCAAATATTATCCAATCGTGGACCAACTAGGCTCAAAAGATTCATCTCGTGATTTCCAACTAAACTGTGTAATTAGTTATTTTTTTTACCTACATTTAATACTCCATGCAAGCGACTAAAAATTGATGTGATGGAGAGAGAGTGAAAAAACTTAGAATTTGGATGGCATCTAAACAAGACCCTAGTCTGTAGGAGCGTAGGAGTAGTGCCTTTCTGGCTCTCTCTCTCTCCTGTGCCTCTGGATTGGAGTATGGAGAAAGGAAAGGCAGGATGATCATAAATGTAGCACCACCGCTACATGCACACACCAGACCTGCAAACCGAACAGCAATTCTTGTCCCCTAGCTGACAGGTGACAAATTCACAACTAATCACCTGATATTTTCAAAGTGCTGCTGAAAGGGATGTCTTATCCTGTCGCTGATCTAGACACAGGTGTTTCTTTCCTCGCTAATTTTGGTTTAGATTTATGAGTACGGGACTGTTCGGAATAAGGGAAAAAAATTTCAGTTTCTGCGTTTTTCGGTAAAATTGAACTGATTTTTGTGAAATTTCTGTGCAATTCCTAGTGCATAAAAAAATCTGGAACAGGAGTCAAAAGCCGGAGCCGTTTCTTCAATTCATTTCTTTCTCCGGCTGCGTAATGGATGGTTTAATGAGACATTATGTCATTTTTCTGGACCTGGATTCGAAGGATTCCTATTGTACTCGCGTCCATTGTACTGGTCAATTCTTCCAGACAAGGACAATCATTTATCAAAACCATTACACAACTTGGATAAAAAATGCATGGTACTATGCATCCGTACCTACCTACCGAGATGTTCAATTGATGGAGTATTTCTTCCCTAAACCACTATTGTCTATTTCTCGCATACATAATAAGAACTCAATCTCTATAACGGCGATGGGTCGTACGTTCGTGCACTCACGTGACCCATGCGCGCGCCGCATGCCAGAGAAAGAAGAAAGGGTCAGAGAATCAACTCACTGGCGGCTGTAGAAGAGACTTTACGAGACGACGGTCGTGACACGGCGGTGGCGGTGGCGACGGGCGGGGCTGGGCAGTGGGCCGCCACTCGCCAGGGCGATAGGAGATGACGGCTAGGTGGGGCTGGTGGCGGGGGAGTCGCGACGCAGGTGATTAGGGGAGGACGGGGTCGAGGGTTGGGGGCTGAGGCGGGTGGCGCGGCGAGGCGGCGGGTGGTGGAATCCAGAGGTGGGGGTGAGGACGAGCCGGTGAGGTCGCGTGCTCCTTAAATGCGTGACCCGTCAGCCGTCATGCATTAGCTCCGTCCTAATAATAATATAATCTATTTGTATGTATTCAATTGTGATTAGTTTTCGTCAAGAAATGAACCTTTTCTGTTTCTTTTATGGCAAGCACTTTTAGATTCTCTATTAGGCCTATTTCTTTTCCGTTACATGATTTTCTTTTACTAGTGAGTTAGGACATATTTGGTTCCTGGCCAAGCGCCATCTCTCTGCATCTATGAATTTTGGTCGCTTAGCATCTTGTCATGTCGTGAACTAAACATACCCTTAGCTTTACCTAAGAGAGAAGGAACCATCATGGTTTTGATATTCACTTGTGTGCCCCACTAGAAATGGCATGGCCTATGTGCCAAGTTCCATCACCCAAAATGCTCTAGCAGCCTGTTCGGCAGCCTATAACTGTCTGTATCTGGTTTGGCTTATCAGCCAGCCAATAATGTTTTCCTCTTACATCAAACCAGTCAGCAGTACTTTCAGCCATAACTTATAAGCCAATCCAGCCGAAACGAACAGACCGTAGATTTGTGTGTTTTTCTTTTCTAAGCCAAACGAGAGTAGCGAGATTCCCTCAACTCGTGTTGTTGCTGTTGATTGATGCAATAGGAGCAGCATCAGTGGCTTAGTACCGCACGTAAGTACTGAGTTGTGATCTAAATTCTCACTTCAAACAAGTTAGCCTTTATCTTATACATAACTTCGCCTATTTAGATTTTTACATCTCTATATATACTTCCTGTAAGCTGTTGTCTTAGGAAAAAAAAAAGTTGTAAATCCTCGATGTTTGTAACCTCACCCGATATATAGTGAAGATTTGCTGGCTGGTGCCCGTGGTTTTTCACTTCTTCCTTGGGAGGGATTTCCATGTTAAAATCTCGTGTCTCCTGTGTTTGATCTACTATTCTTCATCGTTTATATTGCCTATTGTTTCTAACAGTAAGGCCTTGTTTAGATCAGGGTGTAAAGTTTTGGAGTGTCACATAGTATATTATATGGGGGTATCGCATGGGGTGTTCGGATACCAATAAATAAAATAATTTACAGAATTCGTCAGTAAACCGTGAGACGAATTTATTAAGCATAATTAATTCGTCATTAGCACATGTGTTACTGTAGCACCACATTGTCAAATATTAGACTAATTAGGCTTAAAAAATTTACCTCGTAATATGTACAATTAGTTATTTTTAATCTATATTTAATATTCCATGCATGTGTTAAACATTCGATGATATAAGGAACGAGGCATAAACCAACCGGCCAGCACAGAAGTTATGTTTCAAGGCTTGCAGGAAGGTGATAACCCTGGGCAGCGGGCCAGCAAGTTGCCCAAAACATGGCAGCAGCTGCAGCAGCTGCAGAGTGATGAGAGTGAACAGAGCAACGGCCAGTAGGGCTGGGGGAAAAAGGTGGCCGGGCTCCGCTCACAGTCACAGCCCCCACAGCACACACATCCCTGCTCCATCAAGATTCGGGCGGAAGATTCTTGCTCCATTTCTTGGGCAAAGTTGACTACCGGAGAATTTAATTCTGCTGTGTTACTTGAACAAATATAAGTAATATACTATTACTCATATAAGGCCATGTTTAGATCCCACCCAAAATCCAAAATTTTCCAAGATTCCTCGTCACATCGAATCTTGCGGCACATGCATGGAGCATTAAATGTAGGTAAAAAGAATAACTAATTGCACAGTTTGCCCGTAATTGGCGAGACGAATCTTTTAAGCCTAAATAGTCCATAATTGGACAATTTTTGTCAAATACAAACGAAAGTGCTACAGTATCTATTTTCCAAATGGGAAGGGATCTAAACAGGCCCTAAATACACTATGATTTCATATCTAACAACCAACCCTACATCCTGTAGGAGTAGTATATTTTTACTGAAAAGAGTGAATGAGAGATGTGTTTCTTTCCAAAAATAGGCAAGATAAACATCAAGGTTTAGTAGTACCTTGTAGTAACAGTAACAGTTAAAATTGACTAGGGACATGCTAATTACTCAGAACCAAAGCCATAGAAAAGCCCCTATTCTTTCAGTTACCTTAAAAGATGCTGAGGCCGGGCCCCGGATAGGTGCATGAGGTCAGAAGCAGCCTCATTTTACAGCACATCGAGGTGTACTAATCCCACTGAGATTGAGAGGCTTACCGTAAGCAAGCAGAGGTGAGGCGGCTCCAGTGGTCACGTGATGGATGGGTGCTTTGTTTATGGTTGCATCGGCATCGGCATCGCATTCGCATCAGAATTCAGAAGACGGAGAAGGAGCACGAAAAGGACAGTCTCCGAGATCTGCCAGGGGCAGTTTCGCCATTTCTTTATGGCGACCAAGGCGGCCCTCAGATCCCCCGGAGATCTTCTGCGCCCAACAAGCATACTGTGTGTTCCTGCTGCGATGGAAATTTGACCACACTACTGATTACTGAATGTGTGTGGACCTGGTGTGGTGATTATTGGAGTTTCAGAAACCCCGGTAGATTAACATAATATATTCAGATTGGGTACGTGCATATATCCTCATGTCCAGGCTCAAAGATGCCTTCCATTCCAAAAGTAACGATTGGACCCCCAGGCGTTAGCAAGAAGGAATATCGGGTTAGCAACTTGCACTCGTAACAAAAGCAACACGGGAACACAGAATTGAGCTTCTAGGTATATGTATCCATAGCACTAGTCTAGTAGGCCAATAAACCACAAAACGAGTGTTGACTGTAAGTGACACGGCACCTTCTTCCTCCTAAGAAGAGCGCCAGGGGACGGGGGGTGCTCAGGGGAGCTCGCCCACACGCCGGTAGTGGCTGACTGGCCAGACAGGCACGTGCGTGAAAGGTCCTAACGAGGATGAATAGCCTATTAAAAAATTTCTATAACAACACTTAGCAAATCGGTTAGATAAATATGAGACAAAGTGAGTGTTGCGTTAGCCTAAAAAAATGCAAGCCACCTACCACAATTCTAGTTTCTATAGTCTATATCCACACAATGGCTATATCACTACACTAAGTTAGTATGCTCTCAAATGCTAACTAACAGCTCGTTCGCTTGTTGGTTTCAGC